GGACTAGAAGGTGGAATTTTTTTTTTTTTAGGCATAAACTATTGGAGAAATGCAACTTCTGGTCAAGATGGCAGCATAGGCATGGCTTGCCTCCTCCAACAACCACATCAAAATTATAGCTAAAATATAGAACAACTATCACTCACAACCATCAGAAATCAAGTTGAATGGAACCTGACAACTGTGGAATTAAAGAAACCACATCCATACAGACTGGCAGGAGGGGCGCAGATGTGGAATGCGCTGGTCCGATACCCACGGGTGGTGGATAAAAATTTGGGCAGAGTATCTCAGGAGCAAGCAGGCCCAGCCCAATACCAGGACCCCAGCCCAGGGTTCTAGCACCAGAAAGATAAGTCCCCACAATTTCTGGTAGCAAAAACCAGCAGAGATTGAGTTGGTGGAAGAAACTGCTGGAACCACAAGCAGTTTGTCATAAATAACCTATACATGGACTCACCTACTCAGACTCACTCCCTCTGAGCTTCAGCACCAGTGGAGTAGCAGCTTGAGAGGCACCAGTGGCGTAGGGGAGAAACTGAAGTGTCTGACATCAAGGGGAGCAGAGGCCATTGTCCCTTTTTTCCTTTCTTTCTTTCTTTCCTTGTTTTTCTTTCTTTCATGTATTTATTTATTTATTTCCATTGTCCCATTTCTTAACCCTCCTAAAGCAGAGCCCACTAGCTGGTGCCATATCTGAGACTCCATCAACCTGGCTAACACAGTTTGACCCACCTTGGAGATCCCCGGAGACTCCACCCCACCCACACAGCCTTTTCCATACGAATGGCTGGTCTTTACTCAGGTTTCAGAACTCCCTAAATCCTATCAAACAAGCAACAGCGGGCCTTAGTGAGCCCTGAGACCCAGCACCAGCAGCAGCCAGTCTTCATGCACAGCTTCGCTTCACCTGGGAATCTCCAAGCCCGGCGCAAGTAGTAGCCATCTCACATTGCTTTATAGCTTAGGTTGGGTGGCCACAGACAAAACACAGATTGGGGCTGACTTAGGCCTGCACCACAGGGAAACGCCAGAGCCTGTATACCCAGTGGACAGCTACAGACCACGCCAGAGCACCACCACCCTGCCCCAAGCACAGCTGACTCTCCACAGAGGGCAGAGCTTGGTGGTGAATCGTCACAACCAGTCCTTGCAGCTGACTGGCCTGGGTAAATCCCTCCCATTGACCTGACAACAGCAACCAAGCTCAACTACAAAAGACTATATCCAGCCCACACAAGGGGTGTACCTTGAGCACTCAGCTTGAGTGATAGGGAAGGCTGTGCCACTGGACCCTACAGAACACCTACTACATTAGGCCACACTACCAACACACAGAGTCATAGCAACATGGAAACAAACAAAGGGAGGCTGGCAAAATGAGGAGACAAAGAAACATGGCCCAAATGAAAGAACTGATCAGAACAACAGCTAAACAAAATGGAGATAAGAAATCTATCTGATGCAGAGTTAAAAACACTGCTTATAAGGATGCTCAAGGAACTCAGTGAGGATTTCAACAGCATGAAAAGATCAAGTCAGAAATGAAGGATACACTAATAGAAATAAAGAACAATTTACAGGGAAATAGCAGTAGAGTGGTTGAAGATGAGAATCACATCAATGACTTGGAACATAAGGAGGCAAAAAACAACCAGTCAAAACAAGAAGAAGAAAAAAGAATCTAAAAAATGAAGATAGTGTAAGCAGCCTGTGACACAACTTCAGGTATTCATAGGGATTTCAAAGGAGAAGGGAAAGAGCAAGAAATTGGAACTCTATTTGCAAAAATAATGACAGAAAATTTCCCCAACTTGGTGAAGGAAATAGGCAGGCAAGTCCAAAAAGCACAGGGAGTCCCAATTATGGTGGATGCAAAGAGGCCCACTCCAAGACACATCATAATTAAAATGCCTAAGGTTGAAAACAAGGGGAGAATCTTAAAAGCAGCAAGAGAAAAGGAGTTAGTTACCTTTGACGGAGTTCCCAAGAGACTGTCAGCTGAATTCTCAAAAGAAACTTTGCAAGCAAGAAGGGATTGGCAAGAAGTATTCAAAGTCATGAAAAGCAAGGACCTACAATCGAGATTGCTCTACCCAGGAAAGCTATTGTTTAGAATAGAAAAGCAGATAAAGAACTTCCCAGACAAGAAAAACCTAAAGGAGTTATCATCACAAAACCGTTATTCTATGAAATGTTAACAAGACTTATTTAAGGAAAAGAAGATCAAAACTATGAACAGCAAAATGGCAGAAAATACATATCTGACAACAATTGAACCTAAAAAACAATGTAGGTGCCAGATTCAAATTCCCTCTGTGTACTTTTTTTGTATCTGTTGTCTTAGGGCTTTCCTAAGAACTCCTTAACTGGAATCCATCTTATTAAACTGGTGCCCTAAAATCCTATGATTGGACCTCAGTCTTCTAGTGGACCTGAGTCTCTGGACTGTGACCTCGCATGCATTTCTCCAGTTGTTTCTTTTCCTTTCTTTTTCTTTTTTAATTATATTTTATTGGTTATGTTACTACAGTTGTCTTGGTTTTCCCCCTTGGTGCCACCTCCACCCAGCACCCCCACTCCCTCAGCTAATCCCCACACCATTGTTCATGTCTATGGCCATGCATATAAGTTCTTTGGCTGCCCCATTTCCTATACTGTACTTTACATCCCCATGGCTATTCTATAGCTGCCTATTTGTACTTCTTAATCCCCTCTCCTCTTCACATACTCATGTGAGTAATATAAAATCTCACACTAAGGGCTTACTTACCTCAGCATTTCCAATGCATCATGGCCAAATTTCATCAAATGGTAGCAAGGGGTACAAAAATAAGAGGGAAAAATACAGTCTGAAGAGACAAAGCAAGCATTCGAGCCAAGCTCAGATATGACACAGGTATTGGAGTCCCCGGGCAATTTAAAATAACTATAAGTTAATGACTCCAATGAGAAAAGTAGACATTATATAATACTGAATGCATAATGTAAGCAAAAAGATGGAAACTCTAAGGAAAAGCCCAAAAGAAATACTAGGAATCAAACACACCGTAACAGCAATAAAGGCTGTCTTTGATGGGCTCATTGGTAGACTGGACACAGCTGAGGAAAGTGTCAATAAGCTTGAAGACAGGTACTAGAAACTTCCCAGCCTAAAATGCAATGAGAAAAATGAGTAGGAAAGAAACATAATAGAACCTCCAAGAACTGTTGAACAGTTTTAAAAGGTATAATATATGTGTTATTGAAATACCGGAAAGAGAAGAAAAAACAGAGATGAAATAGGTGATGTAACAATTGTCAAGAACATTCCAAAATTAAATACATAACAGAATATCATGAAAAAAATTAGGGCAAGTGACTCAGATTTATATTGTTATGAAAAACTATATTTTTTCACAAAAAGCTACATTATTGAATATAGGTAGTTTATAAAATGGCATGTATACACACAGGTATACACATGTAAAAAGATTTCTGAAACAATCCTTACTAAAATACAATGGTCAGGTTAATTGTGATTTTACTATCTTGATTTTGCTTTTTCTGAGGCTTGAGTGGGCTTGTTTTCACATAAAAAGAAACCATATATTGTTATGGTAATCAGAATAATTTTTTCCCCTGCTTAATAAAAAAGACAGAGCCTCTCACTTTGCAGTTCTACAGTGCAATAGTCTGCGTCCCCACCCTACGCAGCCCCTCGTGTCATTGGGCGCCTCTCCCCATAACAGTCTCTAAAGTTACAGCCCAAGAAAAATCTCAAGTCAAAGGAGTTTGCAGCCTGCAGCATTCACAAGGGCGAAGCTGATCGCAGCCCAGGGCAGGCGAGGAACAGATGCCAGGCTTAGGAATTCAGTATTTCCTCACCTCTGTCCAACAGCATGACAGGTTCGACACCCAGGAAGAGGGTGCACCACCGCTGGCTTCACGGACATGGGTCATTCCCACAGCAGGTGAGCTCACATCATCCCATGCCCCCCAGCCCCAGCTGCCTTTGTCACTGTCCCCCTTTGGCAGCGTCATGCAAGACACAGTAATTCCACCTGATGACATTTAGAAACCAGAAAGAAGGATACTCAGAGCAACCCAGGTGGGGCTTAGAAACATGGCTCTGAGTGGAGGGAAGAAAGGACACGTAGTTAAATACATTAACAACACACTTACCACAAACTATACACATTTAACATGCATGCATACCAACAAAAAGATAGCTATTCAACACACTAAAAAGCTGCCTATGGAGGTTAGGGGAGGGGGAAGCAAGAGTGACAAGAAGGAATTTAAGGAATTAAAATGCAGCCCTGGCTGGTGTGGCTCAGTGGATTGACTGCCTGGCTGTGAACCAAAGGGTGGCTGGTTGGATTCCCAGGCAGGGCATGTGCCTGGGTTGCAGGCCAGGTCCCCAGTGCGGGGCAAGTGAGAGGCAACCACACACTGATGTTTCCTTTTCTTTCTCCCTCCCTTCTCTTCTCTCTAAAAATAAATAAATGGAATCTTGTTTTTATGCAATAAAAATGAAGCACCCTAACTTCTCAGCTCTCAACTTCTTGCCTCTTTCAGGCACCTAAGGGGGTACCCAGCTGCCCAGAGCCTTCTCTCACTCATCGGCGCCCCTCCCCTTCCCCTCGGAGTGCCCCTCCCCTGTTTATCCTTCTTTCCTCCCTCTAAGCGCCCTCAGTACCAGCCAGTTCCTTATCCATTCAAGTTCACACACATTCTCCTCTCCCGCTCTTTCTTATTCACACTCACCCTGCTGAGACCACGATGAAACACAAAACTATCAAAACTAGCCCAGAACCTTCGCTTTGCCCGCCTGCCTTCTTTCTTTGCTCTCTCTCTCCTTCCCTGCCACCACTGCCTTCTGTTCCTCTCTCCCTCGGGCACTGTTGCCAGCCCTGAAGGCTCTGGGTTGTGCAAAGTGGCGGCAGTCCCCACCCCCACCCCACCCCCCGCCCCCGCAGCCCAGGACTCCCCGCAGAGCTCCTCCCCTTCCATCCTAATCTCAAAGTCCAGCAGGGGGAGAGCAGCTGGAGCCCTGCCTCCCACTGGCTGCCATGGGGATTTGGGGATTTGCTTCCTGACTAGGAGAGATGATTCTGGCGTGGAGACATGTGCCAAGAACTTTGTGCCTGGAGACTTCTTCACCCAGGACCCCCAGGACCTCCAAGACATACCCTTCCCTGGGCCTGAGCCGTGAGTGGAAATCAGGGGGGCGGGGGCGGGGGTGTCGCGGAGGGTCAGGGAGAGGGGAAGGCCAAGCTCTGCAGCCTGTTGCCTGGAATTCTGGAATGTCAGGCCTGCGTGGGATCTCAGAGACAGGTCATCTAATACAGCGGGTCTCACCCTGCCAGATGCAATGCCCCTCTCGTGTCCAGGATTTTCCAGTGCCCCTTTTGTACTGAAATGAAATCCATGGGTAATAAACACTGACTATGTAACTTGCCAAAAAAAAACCCCAAAAGCAAAACCAACTGCTACCTTAGCCGTAATATAAAGAATAAAAGGAAAGCATTTCAAAAGAAAGTATGAACTGCAATATATAGATGCTCAAGGATAACGACTTTAGCAGACATAGGGCAACCTCATACATTTCCACGGTGCCCCAGGAGGTGGGACTGTCCCCTCAATCACTGACATGGAGACTGAGACTCAGAGAAGTACAGTCATTAACCCCGAGACACCCAGGAAACGGGGACTCAACCCTGGTCCCCCTCTTGCACTCCGTTCTCTTCTCTTTCAGGCAGGAACTGGGAGGGCACCTGGGGTAGCCAGCCTGTAGTGGCTTCGTGTATCATGTGCTATGTGCTTGCAATTTGCACATGTACCCTGTTCCGCTAGAACCTCACCGCATCCTCAGAAGTTTCCCTCACACAAACAGGAGCATAAGGAGCCGTCAGCATGTCTATGTGCCACAGCAGGGCGCTGGGTGTCCCAGCCTCCAGTCGGGTGGAGGAAGCCCTTTCCATTCCTCAGCATGATCAATTTTCTCTTCATTTTCCCGTCATCTTTCCTTTCTCTCTATCCCTTCTTCCTCTCTTCTTTGCTTTTTATTCCCCCCTCAAAATTGCAATTCTTTAAAACTTAGTATGCCTGATGCTTATCTCCTTTCATCTTCAATCAGACTTGTGAGTGGGTACCATTATCCCATTTCATAGATGAGGAGACAGGAGAATAAAGAATGATTAAGAAACCTGGTCAAAGGCACAAACATAGAAGGGGCAGCTGGGGATTCAAAGCCAGGTCTGTCTGACTCCAAAGTCAGAGTGATTCCCCCAGACCCTTCCTTACCTGCTCTTCTTCCAGTCCTGTTCGGATTTCTCTTTCCCCTCAGCCATAGGTGTTTTGCGACAACATCATATAACCCCCAACATTTTCTAAGAATGAGCTAGAATTATGCCCAGAATTTTATACTTGATAAGAAGGACACTATGTTGAAAGTGCCCGTTGTTGACAAAGCAAGAGGAAATGTCCTCCCCGCGACCCCCTTCCCCTTTCCTCCCCTCACCCCTGACAGTTGTGGAGCTGGGCTGATGGTGGCAGCAGGTGTCTTAAAGATCACAGTTGGGGCTCAGTTCCTAACGATCTTGATCAGCTCATCGAGGACCCCTTAATGGAGCTCTGCTACGGAGGAGAAGTAACCTTGCCAGCCCGTACCCCGTGGGCATGAATGTCCTACTATTTACCTGGCCTTTTGAAATCCTTTGGCGTTTGAGCCCTACTTTTTTACCTACCATACCTAGATCTATGCCTGCTTGTGTTAGTTCATCCAAACACACACTCATTGATCACGCTTTTCTTAAGAACCTGCTGTGTGCAAAATGTACATCCAATCAAAAGTATCTGGGCACCTATTACGTGCCTGTACTATAGACAGAGCCGTGGTGAGCAAAGCAAAACCTCTGCCCTGTGCATCCCAGGGAGGAGACAGAGGGTAAACAGATAAACAAGTAAATACGTTTAAGATAGTACAGATACCCGCCATGAACAAAACCAGATCAGGGCGAGGGTATAGGAAAATAAAATGAGGGAGAGGGGTCAGGGGCTATGTTAAGTGGGAGGATCACCAGGTGTTAAGTGTTGTCAGATATGCAAAAATAAACATGTCACAATCTTGTATAACACATACAGTATGATCTATGTGTACATAAAATGTTAGGCCTTGCCTATGTTTAATATAGACATTTTGCGTTCTATATGGACACGAAGCTTTAGAAGCAATGTTTTCAGGGTAAAAGAGTGGGGAAAATAACTCAGTGGTGCCTTCTTTCTTACTAATTAGCCAACAATTGTTAATGTATAACATTTCCAGGAAGGTGGGGTATGTGCTCAAATGTACTATTTTCTTGTCATCTGCCTTCTCTCCCACAAGGGGGGTGCACCAGGCGGTGGAGGTGGCAAATAATGCCCATATCCATGAGAAATTCCCCGAGACTCCTGCAAAGCCTTTTCTGAGAAAAATGTGAGACCTGCTTAGGGCTGGCAGCAGTGCCTGGGGGGAGGCCCCGGCCCACCCTGGGCCAGGCTGTCCTTGCTGCAGCCAAGGGCCGAGGGGCGGCCTCGGAGAAGGCGGCTCCCAGAGTGCCTGACGGAAGGGCCACCTGCCAGCCTCAGGGTCAGACACAGCTCTTGCTTGTAAACAATGATAGCTGGCTCTGGGTTACTTAAGCCAAAGGGCATTCATTGGAAGGATAAGGGAGAGGCAGGGAGGGAGGCCGGGAGGGAGGGGAAAGAATTGCCAGGAGAGCGAGGAAGGGGCAGGACCGAGCCTGAAGATGCCCCGCAGGGTATCTCAATAGTCTCTGATGAGGGCCCCCAGCTATTCCCTCCATCCGGGCGTTCGCTCAGCTCGTCAGGCCCTACGGAGCAGACATCTCATTCACCCCTCGGAGGCCTCGTGCCCTTCCCAGGGCGTCCCCGGTGGGAGGCAGGCCTCTGATACCCAGGATGCAGCAAACGTCGGCTTACAGTTGTTCATACAGAAAATAATGCAATGATTAATAGATAATAATAGAAGAATAAACTCTGTGTTTCTCATACGCACGACTGAAAGCCAACGTTTGCCTCACCTGGCACTATCCTGTCGCTCCGAGCACACAGCCCGACCGATGTGGGTCCCCGCGGGGAGACTAGGGTGCTACCTGCTGTGCTGGGGGGATGAGATGATTCTGCCCAGCAAGGACAGGTGTCCTCAAGAACCTCCTGCAGCCCGTGGTTTGTGAAGAGAACGGACCTCCTCTCTAGCCTGGGAGCTGGCGGCTCCCCCTCCGCGGGGAGCAGGTGAGAAAAAATTCTCGCCGACCAAGCACTGCCCCTGACTTATCCAGGCCTCACCTTAGTCTCAACAGGTCTCCACAAGGTGGCTTCTCAAACCCTCAACCCTATGGGGCCGGGGCGGGGGTGGGGGCAGCCCTCAAAATGGCAAGCACCTCACATAGAATCTGCCCTGGCTTCCGCTCTAAAGTGAGTGAGAAAACCTTCCTTACTCATTGGCTATATTGCGTAGCCAATGAGATACCCCAAAGGACAAAAATGCCCTTTTTTTTTAATGACTGTTGTTTTTTCAAGTTACCTCCTATGCCAGCAGAAATAAAGCGTAATTAGCATTTTAATAAATCACCTTAATGTTCTGTCAACTGTGTCTACTGCATATTTTCAAATATTTTATAGCCTTTTTTTAAGAGTAAGGAAGCCCTTGATAAATGCCCCCTTTGTGTTGAAAGCTGGCTAGAAAAATGTTAGAAAAATCTTTGTCATTGCAAAGAGAATGTCCCCTAGAATTTTCAAATGCTCACAAAAATTGATCTCTCTTACTTATCTAACCCAACAAGTTTTCACTTTTTAATACTATGATTTGGGGGGAAAGAAGAAAAAGTTAAGGTGACTCCCCTGCTCTGGAACTCTGTGAGAATAAGGCAGTTGGAAAATTAAATCTCATTATCCACTTGGCACATAGTATATAAGGGTGGTGGTGTTCTCCAAATTGAATGTCACTTTTGAGTTGTCCAGGTAGATTGAAGTGGAAATTGGTGAATTGGATGAAAATCATTAGCTGTCATCTGTGTTTAGCATGAGGCCTAAAAAGGCAACATCCGACTAGTTAAAATGGTAAAAAAAAAAAAAAGCCTATACAGAAATAAACCTGGAATTCAGTTTTATTAACCCAGATTTCAATTATTCCTTCCCCACACTCCTTGACTCTGTCCATTTCCCCCCATGAACACACAGCCCCTGTGCATGCACATGTTAACAGATATATGTGTGTGCACATGCTAACAGGCATGTGTGTGCATGCACACACTGACAGGCATGTGTGTGCATGCACACCCAGCATTTCCAAGAGCCCAAGAGAAGCTTTATTAACTCTCAACTCATGTCACCCTCAAAACACAGGCTGTGGTAAATAAAGAACACAGGTGATAATTTATATATTCAGATTTTAATTTTTTCTAGAAATAATGAAAACTAAAGCATTTGGGAGGGTTTTGTCCATCCAGTATTATTATTACTCTTATTTTTGAGTTTAGGTTGTTTAGTGAGAGAGGAGATATGAAAAGTCAATGGGCTTTTGAGATGTTATCGAGCCTTATTTCACTTGACTAATTTTTCTTGCTTGCTTGCTGTCTGTCTGCCTCCCTTCCTCCTTCCTCCCTTCCTCCGCTCTCCCCTCCTCCCCCTCCTTCCTGAGAACAGGATCTCCTGTGTTTCCCTGGCAGCCCTCATCCCACCATCGTGTTCCCATCAGTTGGGTGAATGAACGAATGTATAAATCAATGAACAGACGAGTGAATGAATGAGTCTGCTTTGACTGTTTAAAATTCAGACTTTCCTGTATCAAATCTTCCTTTCCAATTCCCTTCCCCCCTTCAGCCTACTTTCATAATTCCTGTACCCTTGAAGTCAGGAAAGCTTACTGCCTTCTCAATGGGCAGCTCCAATTTTGCAGGTAGGACAAAGAGATTGAAGGAGTGAAGGAAATTTGAGTTCTTAGAAACACCCAGAATTTTTTTTCATCTCAGAAGAGTAACTAATGTAGAGACACACATTGAAAGCTTTTCAAAAGGTGAAATTCTGAGGGAACTTAAGCTATCATTTTGGTGAGTTATTTTTATGCACAAATAGCCAAAAGCTACTTGCTTTTAAAGTAAGAGGAAATTAATGACATTCATGATTCTTTGGAACAGAAAAGTGAATGAGAGCTCTTTGAAAGAAAACATATTCAGTGCTGTTACATTTCATCTTCCTTTAAAAACACAATTGTTCATTGTGTCTCTCACATGAAGACTGTGACTTCATAGCCACAAAAAACACCAACATCTCATCCATGGATTCAAACCTTCAAGCCAAACAAGAGACCGCAAGGTCTCAGCATTCTCCACCTATAACGTTATCTCGATACTGACGTTGAATCTTCAAAATGAGCCGTATTCTTTTCCAAGAGTATTTATAAAGTCTCCACACATCTGTCCCAGTACTGACCTTCCCTGGCTCCATTATTCCATCGAAAGCTGTGTTGGAAGGGGAGGCCGAAGGTGGCCAATGGGTGAGCGAAAAAGCACTGGGCTGACAGCAACCTGGAGTTTCATTCTGGGCTGCCACTAGCTAGCTTGGTGACCTTAAATGGATTCTCCACTGTAGACTGGTTTAGCGATCTGTAAAATGAGCATTTTTACCAAAGGGAAAAAACCCCAAAAAACAAAACAAAACTAAGATCCCTTCTAGCTCCAAATATTTAATGACTATTCTGGCTCAGCTCATCTTCGCTTTTTCACTGTCTTGTGTTGTCATGGTCTCTGTGTCCTTGTGTTTTGGAGGAAGGTTCTGCCTTTCTGATCTATTTGCATATAGTATTTAGGAATATCGTACCTTTCCCAGCATCTCTCTCTCTCTCTTTGTTCCATATATGAAAACTCAAGATCCGTTCATTCCTTGTCTATTGTCAGCCAAACCTATACCAGGAACTGGGATAGCTGCTGGGATTCAGGCGCTGGGCAACACAACGCTTAGCAAATACCTCTATTGATGAAGAGGACACATTCCGGCAACACAGCACTGGCAGAAGCTGGCCAGCTGAAAAGAGAAATACAGTGTCCTGAGGAGGAGAGGAGCTTGCCAAGCTTGTGAAGACCTTGATGGAAAAAAATCTCGCCTTCCCACACCTTTCCTGACTGCATTTGAGAAGAACTATCTTTTTCTTCTCCAGAAAATTATTGAGATACCTCAGTTTTTAAATCCAAACTAAAGACTGGTTTTTTAAACTCAGAAATAAAATATCCTGACAGACTCATAAATAGAGAATGGATGCTATGGGGGTGGAGGGAATAGTTGGGGGGTTGGGGGGACTGAACAAAAAGGGAAAAAGACTCATGGACATGGACAAAAGTGGGGCGATTGTGGGAGCGGGGGGCATAAGCGGGGTAAACAGTAATGGAAAAGTGCAGCTAAAAAAAGAAATAAAATATCCTAAGGATTCGGGTAACCATAGGAGATTTATACAAACGGGCCTGTGTATAGAGGACCCTAACTCACCTCCCTTTTGGCAGGTGCTTTCTGGAGGTCTGTAACCAAGCTCGGCCTTCATACAAAGCCCAGAATGCCCCCATGTGACTTCACCCCGGAAAGATACCAGGTAAGAGTTAGAGCTTCAGGAAAGCCGAGAAGAGGTGGTTCTCCTAGAAGAGGCTAAATTCATTGTTTCCTCAAGAAGGACCCACAGATGTCCCTGCCTGTCACTGAGCCATCCCTTCCCAGATTATCTGCCCTCCAAATCTTTGGGATCCTCAGAACCCTCTGATTTTATTCAATGCCGTTGTATGAATTGGTGCGTGTATTGATGAGACAGAGAGAGACAGTGAGCACAAGAATGAGACTATTCATGATGGCATATCACAGGGACAGGGATACAGATCTATATACACATACATATACATAAATACATATATCACTAAATGGGATGGTGCACATTAGCTTTAAAAAACGTTCTGATTTTAACTGTTTCCCTGAGTTCTCTACCCAAAAATATCAAGTTATCATTTTGCTCTCAGGCTAATTAATATTTCTCTCTCTCCAAAATTTTATTCTACATGACATTCAGAGGTTAGGAATTGCGGAACTTATAGATAGTCAGGAGGGACCAACAAAGAAGAGAAGCGGAGGTGACAAGCGTGATTATCATGGACATGAACATCACCAGCATTCATTTTTTTAATTCTAAAAAACAAGCAGCAAAATAAAAAAAAATAAAAAAAATTTTTAAACCCCACTTACTACTTCAGACATTTAGTTTCAAAGTATTTTTGTTTGTTTCACAGCTAAAATCAACTCAAAGCCAAGGCTTTGCATTGAGAGGTAGAAACCTTTGTGCGTTTCTCCTTCATGTCTGATCTAGAAAAGGACCAAAGGGCCACATCAATGATGTGCTGCACCTGAAAGGAAGGGCCGGGTGCCCTGCATGGGAGACGCTGGGTAGATCCACCCACTAGTGGGCACAGGGCAGCAGCCCTCCCCCAGCACCGCCAGCTGGGAGGCAAGGCGTTGCTATGGTGACCTGCTGCTGTGAGAAGTGTGGAGACAAGGAAGAGGAAGATTTCTGACACTGAATTGTTGTCTGTCCACAGTCCCTTCCCTATGACCGTGTCCTGGAGATCCACAGGCGACATCTTTCTCCTCTGATGACGGCCTACTTTTCCAAGCCTTTGCTGCTCCACCAGGGGCACGGGCAGTGGCTCTTTGATCACGAGGGAAACAGATACCTGGATTTCTTTTCTGGGATTGTCACTGTCAGTGTTGGTCACTGCCACCCGTGAGTATCCTTCAAATTCCGGGGTTTCCACTCCCGAAGAATGTATGGAACAAAGGCTACTGGTCATGGTAGTGGCTGAGTGACAACTCTCCTCAGGCACATCCCACTCCCTGGCGGGCGTGCCCCCCGCTGTTTCCTGGGTGACAGGAAAAATCTAACCCCTGCACTTTCTTTTCCGACAAGGGAAGTTTTAGTCACTCTCATTGCACATGCAGCATGGAGTGCACCGTGTAATTAGGCTGCTGCTGTGCATGGGCGGTGTCTCCTCACTGGCAACCGCTTCCAAAGAGAGGAAAGGCACCGAGGAAAAGGCACAAAAAAGGGAAAGGTGGGCAACTCTCACAGAGCACAGGGGCTGGTGTGTGGGGCAGGGATGAAGAGAGATGAGAAATCCCTTGCAGCCTAAGGATCTCCGTCAGCTGCTCTGACCGATGGATGAGGGAAGGGAGGACAGTGAGACAAAGGTGGGACACAGCTGGAAGCTCACATGAAGAACGTGTGGCTCCACTGGCCTTGAGTTCTCTGCTGGTTTGGTGACCCGCCACCCACACCCACAACCCTCGCAGGCCCTTCTGTGGTCCTTTCGGGTTCTGTGCAGCCCTCTCACTTCGATGTCTGTTTTCTCTGGCCTTAAATAATCTGGCCAAGGAAATTCACACTGAAGGGGACAAAGATAAAGCAGCAAGTCTAAATAAATGGAATAGGTCTGGGCCCTTCTCTCCAAGTAGAAGCGAGGGGTCGTCTCTGCTGGCAGCTGTCAGGCAGCGAGGAGTGGGTTTGAACCCCGGGGTCCAGCCCTTGCCTCCTCCTCCCATAACCTTCTCCTTTCCATTTCTGTCTTCAGGAATCACTAGTATTCTGTGAGGACCTGAGGAGCATGAAAAATACATTTTAAGTGACATTTAAAACATAGGACAACACTGGCGTGGTAGCTAAATGGGATAGAGTGTTGTCCCAATATTGTAAGGTTGCAAGTTCAATCCCTGAGCAGGGCACATACAAGAGTCAATGAATGAAGGCACAAATAAGTAGAAAAACAAATCAATGTTTTTCCTCTCTCTCTCTCATCAATGAATGAATAAATAAATAAGAAATCTTTAAAAAATAAAGTAAAACAGGACAAACACACATGAAAGTAGAGAAAAATGAGGTAAAGAAAATTTTTTAACACTCTCATTGAACACTCCCAATAATGATTGTTCCTGTTGATTGACTGTTCTCATTGGTCTTCATGACCTTTGTGCCTCTCCTAATTTCCCTCTGACCTCCTCACTCTGGGTGGTGCAGGCTCTTTCCTTAGCACCCTGCTCTTCCCTCTATATTCCTTCATGCCCTATTACTTCCCCCACAGAATGGGTCTCACCTTATGTCCCCCCCTCTGGTCATTTAATTGCTATATTTTCATCAGCCTTACCCAACTCTATTTCTTCAGCCTTGGACCCTCACCAAGCTATAATAATAACTAATAAACCCAGAGTGGAAATTAGATGCCTCATATTTTCCCTGCCCCATGATGTTCCACCATTGGCTGAAATTCAACATTATCAGAACTAAATGCACCATGTGCTCCATAATACTGTTTCCATTCACACGCTCATTTTGATTCACATGAGTCAACTATTATACAGAAGTTTTCTGCTAGGAGCTGGAGAACTGGTTTCATTTCTCATTGGACCCTGGGTTTTTCCCTATGTCGCAAGCAAGAATGCTCATGTCACCTTTGACTCTTCCCTGCCTTTCATTCCCTTAAACCACCAAGGCCCTGTTTTCCCTCCACTGAAATCCTCTCCTACCAGCCCCCCTCACTAATCCCTGCTAACACCGGCCCTCCCCTGACACCTGGGAGACCACCGTGCCCTCCCAGCTGGCTTCACTAGTACCAGTCTTCCCCCATCCCTTCTACCCTTATGCAACTCTCAGATTTATTTTGCTAAACAATGCTTTTACCAAGTGTCTATTCTGTTTAAGAGTTTGCACAGTGAGATACCACCTCACACCAGTCAAAATGGCCATCATTAACAAGTCAACAAACAACAAGTGCTGGCGAGGTTGTGGAGAAAAGGGAACCCTAGTGCACTGTTGGTGGGAATGCAGACTGGTGCAGCCACTGTGGAAAGCAGCACGGGGTTTTCTTAAAAAACTAAAAGTTGAACTGCATTCCGACCCCACAATTCCACTGCTGGGATTCTACCCTAGGAAACCTGAAACACTAATTCAAAAGAACCTATGCACCCCAATGTTCACAACAGCATTATTTATAATAGCCAAGTGCTGGAAACAGCCTAAGTGCCCATCAGTAAAAGAGTGGATCAGAAAACTGGTACAGTTATACAGTGGAATACTATGCAGAGGAAAGACAGCATGGATGGAACTGGAGGACATTATGCTAAGTAAAGAAGCCAGTTGATGAAGGTCAAACACCATGTGATCTCATCTGTAAGAGGAACCTAATGAACAAAAGCAAACTGACAAACACAATAGGACCAGAGACATGGAAGTGTGAAACAGACTGACAGTGACCAGAGGGGCGGAGGAGGGGGTAATGGTGGAAAGAAGGGGGAGGGACGAGTCAAAGAACACGTGTGAATGACCCACGGACGTGGACGACAGCGCAGGGACTGACTGTGGGAGTGGGAGGCAGGGTGGGATGGGTGGAGGAGGGCAAAAGGGGACAACTGGGACCACTGTAATAGAACAAAAATAAAATATTTTTTAAATAAAAAAATATAATAAACAAACAAAAAAGTTTATTGACACTCCACAACTTTCTAAAGGGAAATCTGATCAGTCAACACTTTAGAAAATTGACTGCAACACGATCACAGAAGAAGTGTGTTGGTAAAATTTCCCACAAAGAAATAAGCTTGGGAAGCACTTTAAAGTGTATCCTGGGGAGGAAGGGAGCGCGTGAGACCAGTAAAGGCACTGAGAACTCCTACAGTCAAGAAATCTGCGTGATCGGGCCTCCCTCCAATTGTTTAACCACTGAACTGATTTTTTTATGTGACAGTTATTAATAACAAACAGATTGTGGTGTTTGTTATTAATAACTGTCACTGCTGTCCTTTAGACCAAGATCAAACCTCTGGATCTGGCTTTTCAGGGCATTCCAAGTCAGGGCCTACGCAGACATCTGTCAGATAGGCATCTGTCTACCTGAGTTCCTACAGTCCCTCAACATTAACCTTGCTTCACAGCATGTGGGTTCATATTTATAAAATGTGCAACATTCACCACTACTAAGGCCCAGATAGTGGAACATCCTTTAACAGAAAAAATATTGATCTTGCATACATGTGCTTGATAGGTCTATAGTTCTTTAGAAAAATAAAATAAGACACCCAGGCTTACATCTAGTTGTCTCTGGTATCCAAACTATTTAAAGCATAATTAATAAGAAAGTCTAGTTAGAACAGATTTAAAGTTCAAACTGCCTCCTAAACTAGAAATGTCCTTCCTAAAATCCTTAAGAGATACTCATTCACTCACTGTCATTGTCTTTGGAGTTGGCACATCCCATTGCCAGGCACCTCTGGTGGTTGGAGTTCTTTCTCATGTGTGGATGAAATCGGCCTCTTAAAACTCTGGGTTCAGTGACCGCTGTGTGTGTTGGGAGGGGCATGCCTGCCTGCAGTGTGGATAACTCTGTTCCCCTGTCTGTCCAGGAAGGTAAATGCAGAGGCACAAAAGCAGCTCGGCCGCCTGTGGCACACAAGCGCCGTCTTCTTCCATCCACCAAGCCATGAATATGCCGAGAAGCTTTCAGCGCTCCTTCCTGAACCTCTAAAGGTATAGTGCTCCCAGCTCAAAGGGACGGAAGCCCTAGGAAGCAGGAATATGGGCAGGAGTTTGTGGTCTGTGTTTTGAACAGCTGAAATAGTGAGCTAAGAGCTATATCTGAAAGTAATCAAGAAGAAAGGAATCTGCAAACCGCTGGTGAGACCAGCCAGCGCTCACTCTATCAGTGCCAAGCGCCCAGCCGCATCTTCACCACCACGTCTTTGCAGAAATCACTTGACAGGACCTGCACCCCCCTGAATCCCCCCTTTACATTCCCCAAGAGGTTTTCATCTCTTTGTTTCGCAGCCCCTGTGCAAAGTCACTTACATTTTTTTTCTTTTACAAAGAGTGGAGCCATTTGTAAATAAAATGAATATGACAGTCAGTTCATTTAGTCTAAGATGTACTTAGATTTTTTTTTTTTTTTTCTGAATGAGATTTTTTTTCCTGCATCTGCAATGGCTGAATTACTTGAACTGAATTGAGATGTTAAATGTTGGCCAAGATTCACATTTAGGAATTTGATGAATTAGTACTTATGCTGTACCTAGAACAATACCATGTGTTAGCTTTTATTATTATTTTACTATATCATCTGGATACTCTATTTACTCTAGTACCTAGAAGAGATAAATAAAGTTGGAATAGCTACAGCCTAAATTCAGCCACATCATGTTTATGGAAGAGCAGAACCCTGCACATGCCTCCCAGTCCCCAAGCCCGGAGGACCCAGGACCCTTCGGTTCTCCCCTTTCTTTCTGCCAAGATGAACTGCATTTTTTTGTTGTTGTTTCCTTATTTTTTCAACATTCACACACACTGAACTCACAGGCTGGGATATCCTTGGGGCTGCAGGATCAGGGAGCCTGCCTAGTCCCCAGCGTTCAGACCAGGTGGAGTGGTTCAGGTTCTTCAGGAACCAAGAGACCTGGTTCTCAGATCCACTCAGCCACTAACCACTGCATACACTTCAGTAAGTCTCCCCATCTTCGCATTTTGCAGAGCATCAAGTAAGCCAGTGGAAGTGCGGGATGTCTTACAGCTGGGCCCATCCCTGAGCCATTGCTGCATCTGTAGCACTTAGCAGCAGCTCAGTGAAAAGCTGTAAAATTAATACTGTAATTAAATGATGGTAACTACTGGTCCAAAGGTCACTCTCTGTAATAATAATCAGAGGCTGGGACACACTGTCTTCACAAAATTTAAATCAACTGATTAATAAGAAAATAGATTGAAGTACGAGGCCATGTGTCTTCCTTTTCTCTTCAGGTCATTTTCTTGACCAACAGTGGCTCCGAGGCTAACGACCTAGCCATGCTGATGGCCAGAGCACACTCCAAGAACGCAGACATCATCTCTTTCAGGTGACCACACCTCAGAATATCCGACTTTAATAACATTGACTTACCCCAGTACTACATGTCTACCTTTAAAATACAGGATGGAAGGGCTTTCCCAGGGGTATGATTTTAATTTTATGTTTTAAAAGAAGATCAGTCACATGAATTGTATGACTGGATGAGCACATCCAAATTAACCTGATCCCACATAGGGGTGTCCCTGAGTGGGGTAACAAGCAGCGTGGAGTCCTAGTTATGTCATAGCTCTCCTGTGGAGTTGAAGGTCACATCACAGCTTTTTGACTTTGAAGATGTGCTTTGATTATGACATAGGTCAGGTGGAGAATAGCTAGTCTCTACTCATAGAAGCTCAAGACTCTCCCATAGGACCCTGGGTCCATTTAATGTCTGCATGTGCTAAGGCGCCAGCCGCACCAGGTTTTCCCTTTCATTTTTTTTTTTTTTTTTGAGTTCAAAAGATGCACATGTAACCCTGCATACTTCTGCTCCTACGGGTGGCTTTTGAGAATTAATCATTTAATAGGTTAATTATAAACCTTGATGACTAAATTAGTAGCATTAAAAATAATAGAAAACAAAGAGTTTTACTTACAGTTGCCTTCCTTGGGTAATTTTATGTAGCACATTCAAACACTCTTATAATAAGTTTTATGTAAAAGACAGCAGTGAGTTATAGTAAAAGTTGATGGAATGAAGAAGTATTCCCATTCTTTCACCTGCATGGCCATAATTTGTCTAGATTTGAGAGACTTTATTTCCACAAAACTTGATTACCAAAGCACATCCAATAAAATGCATGTGCTGCAACAACAGGCATGAACAAACATTTGCTATCAAAGATACTGTAAAGAATTGTGATTGATATTTTACCTAAATAAACATTACAGAAGGTGTGTGTCCAGGTGTTTAGACTATTCAAAGCAGTCATTGTGCCACCAGGGTTCAACACATGTTTGTGTCGTCTCTTTCAAGATGTATGGTCATCGTTTTGCATAGTCTCAATACAGTACATAGTCCTCAGTCTGCAATTTGAGTGATTTTGATTTGGAAAAAATGGTTAAACTCATCTGAAGCCAACATTGGTGGTTAGGATGATTTATACTGAATAAGACTATTTCAGGTTCAAAAAGAAGCAAGACCTGTGTTTTTTCTGTGCCAAGTAATGTGGCTTTTAAGGCACTTAAAGGGGAATCCCCTAACGTGTGGAGCAACAGCAAGAAGGAATAACTGGCTTCTCAAGGTGAATGTTTTGAAGGCAAATACTCACTGACTATATAATATCTGCCATGTTGCTGTAAGATGAGCCTCACTACTTCAGAGTAGTAGAGTAGGACAGGTGTTGAGATCAAAGTGCGTGGCTAGATAGTCTCCAAAATTTCTTCCACAACTTCAAATTTATGACACCCACAGGATAAATAAGTCAATTTGCCTGACGTAGGGCTTCAAATATTTCTTAAAAACTATTGGAGTTGCACATTAACAGCGTTCCATTTCATCTCCATGACCTTCCCGGGTTTTCTCTGTGTCTGTGTTTCCTGCCCGTGTTCCACAGGCCAGAGGTCAAAAAGCGATGAGTCAAACTCTGTCCTCCCTGTCTTTCCTCCGCAGAGGAGCCTACCACGGATGCAGCCCTTACACCCTCGGCTTGTCAAACGTAGGGCAGTTCAAGATGACTCTCCCCAGTGGGATGGGCTGCCAATCAGTGAGTCTGGAGATTTTATCTTATTTCTCTAAAGGCTGCTAGGTGTGTGGGACAATTGATCAGATTTTCCAGGAATTAGCATTAGAAACTAATATAAAGCCTATCATTAACCAGGAGCTCAATTTGACTTAATTGTACTGAAGACCATTTGGGGGAAAGGTTTCTTAGAAAGACCTTCAGAGTCTGAGTAATAATTAATAATATGGTCTTAAAATTTTGTCTTTCTCTTAAATAAAATCAAGTAAATTGCAATAACTGCATAAACTCTCTATAGAGTCATCCCTTTACCCACCTTTCCAGCATCAGATACTTAATTATTCTTATTCTTTCGGATGCTCTTACCCACCAAACCCCTGAGCAAGTTGTTACCAGGCTGACATTGAAATCAGTTTCCTTTGTAGACTTCCTACATAACTATTTCTAAGAAAAATTATCTCTTCAAAGCAGAAAATTAGGTTTTCATCCTAAGTGGGAGAGAAATCTCAATATCAAATTAAGAAACCCTTCTGCCTTGATTAGTACCATAGGCTCCCCCAAAGTGCCTATCTTCAGTTGGTGCTTTGACAAACTTCTTCCTTTGTCATTTCAGACAATGTGCCCAGATGTTTTCCGTGGCCCTTGGGGAGGAAGTTGCTGCCGGGATTCTCCAGTGCAAACGATAAGGAAATGCAGCTGTGCCCCAGGTTCCACCAGGCAGGGAGGGAGGTGCCTGGGGAAGGTCGGAGGGGTCAGAGTTTGGAGAAGCACTCCTGAGTGAACAGATTTGGAAACGTTGGAAAGGAAAAAGCCGAGGGAAACAAAAGCAACCCCTTGTGGGACTGTGTCTCATGCCTACTACCACGGTACCACCTGGCTGTTAGGAAATGCATCTTATGCTATCAGGGCTAAGCTAAAAACAGACCGTCCCCGGGTAGTTAACAAAAGAAGCTCTGTTACCTCCATTAGCAATAGTTCTGCTATGGATCTTAAAAACAACAACAACAACAACAAGGTTGGTGGAATTATTTACCAGTTCCCAACAGAAGGAGGAGAGAAGAAAAAGAATACTTTTTCGAATGTTCAAAACTCCAGTCATAAAGCTCCTCTAGGGACTCAGAATGCCAGCCAAAATGAGAGCTTCTGTCAAAACCTATGGCCGGTCCCGAGGGCTGTTGGCATCTCTTGCAAATGGTCTGAAGCCTTTCTCACAAGGCAAGTTTCTATTTATTAATCACATTTTTATTTGCACCCTACACATGAGGGTGAAGAGACATGGAAATGGTATCTGTTCTCTGCTAATCACTGAATCCCAACTCCTATTTGCCATTATAGCTCAGAACCTTCTGAAAAGCTGCTTTAGTTGGCACTGAAGGAAAGAACTAGCTGTTCCAGGTGAACGATCTCTAACAGAATAACAAGTGTCACTGGGTTCACAGGAAGAATGTAAATGGAAGTCTTTAAAAGCAGCTTTGAAAGGAAGAAAATTCATAGTCATCTTAAAATTCAGATGGGATAATGGCAAATGGAGATAGACAGATGTAAGAATGAGGATTGGAACAAGATGTCACGGTCACAGAATGTAAACCATAAGGAAGTTTATAGCTGTCATTCAAACTAAAGATGAAGAGACTGAGGTCCACACCTAAGAAGCAGGAGAACTAGGACTTGACCCCAAGTCTTCTGACCCCAAAGCCAGTGCTCCAACTTACGACCACCCTTGTTCATACCGATATCCCAGCAGGATGAACCCAGGCTTATAAATAACCCCTGTTGCGCTGGCCAGGATTGAAGAGACACATGGACCCCACTCCCCGCCCTAACATGTTCCGCTCGGAGAAGAAAGCTCCGTTTTTGCTTTAGTTTTCTCACTTATAAGAAGGAGTTAAGAACACTTGCCTTCCTGACCTCTTATTCCAAAGCATCGAGAGAGCAAGACCAGAGAGCTCTTTGGAGAAGGAGGCAGATAATGGCAACACTGAGGACGGCCATACCTGTACATCCCCTCTGTGTGGCATCAGGAACCGAACTCCCTGAGGCGCCCCTCAGAGCTCTCGCTGTGACTGCAGGAGCACCGGCGCAAGAGCCTAGCGGACAGAGCACTCAAGAGGGGTGGCTTCCTTCCATCCCTACTCTGTGTCCCCCACTCCCTCTATCTCCCCTGCCTCCTCCCTCTTTGAGGCCTTTCCCTCTGCCTTAGACCAGCTGGAAAATACCAGAACCCCCGGGCCAAGTGTCTGGTGGCAACTGGAGGCTAGATGATTGTGACAGATGTTCACTTCTGCTTCTCTGAATTGCCCCGTGGGGCACAGCTGAAGCCGGCTGTTTTCTTAACTCCTATTTCCAAGAGGCAAGGAAATAGGAGTTAAGAAAACTCATGTATCTTGAAACAGAGCTAGAATACAAAAAGAGACTTCCTCCCCTAGTGCTTTTAGGACCTTGGATGTGTTTGGTCTTCGTGGTCAAAAAGGTTCATTCACGTATGTTTACAAAGGCATCCGAACACCTAAAGTACTTTGGGCGTAGAAGGTCACCCTTTCCAGGATCCTCTTCGGGTCCCTCCGGTGCCAATCCTGGTAGAAGTTTTTTCACCGTGATGCCACTGCTGCACCCATGGGCTTAAGCAGTGGTCTATTCTGTGAGTTGAACAGAGGTAGTGATGTGGTAGATTTCATTATCTCCCTTCCCCCTCTCCTCGGGAACTTTTCCTCCCAAGTGTTCATTCCAGGCCCTGAACTTCAGATTTAACCTGTGATGAAATTGACCTCTCGATACCCACAGCCCCCACAGTGTCCCCAGCCTGGTACTGATCGTGTGCTGTTTCTTCACCTTTTGCAAGGCAGGTTTCCTTTTCCGTAATTTTTTTTCTTCCTTGGCTCCCCATTCTGTTTAACCCTTCCCACACCACCAGCTGAAGTAAGAACACTTCCTTCCCCACTCTATTGCTTGGCTAGTATCCAGCAGAGCATCACTCTCTACCGCCTGGATGTTGTCATGGTGATGCCGCCGCACCAGGTCTCTCTCCAGAGGCAGCCTGACCTGGACTCACAGCAATGAGCCAACAAAGGAAGTGTGAAATGAAGCGAATTGCGACGACAGCAGAGGACCGCTCTCATCACAGAACGTGTGGGCAGCGGGGAGGAAATCACGGCAGGTCTAACACACAGTCAAGCAGAACCTTCTCTGGGTTTGGTTTTGTCCAGCTGGAAGCCATTGGGGTTGATTTTGCTCTACCCTTTGATTTCTCTAGTTATAAACAGGCTTGTTAAATTTCAAAATTGCATCTTTTGAACATATGTCTCATCCGTCCACTGGGGTCATCCTAGACTGTTTTTCTTTCTTAAAAATAGGAAATTTCAATCTCTAGAGGCGTAGATTTATCTGTCAGCTTTATCCTGCCCATCAAACAATGGAAATGATGCTACAAGTGTGCTTTCTGCATTTGATTATCCTTTTCATTACTTCCTTCTTCACACCCCAACCCCCAAATCTAACTAACCAAAGATATCAGGGGCCTCTGCCAAGCAAGCTTTCTTTCCCAAACATCATTTGTAGCCTGAAAATATGTGTGGGGCCAGGTAGAATGTTTAAGGAAGAACTGGAGTATAAAATGGATTTACACGTCAGTCTTGAGGGTGATGGCTGAAGGTTTCTACTCCCCGTCTCTAGCCTTCGGGAGGCGGGGCTCCAGCCAGGCCTCTGAGCGAGAGTGTGAGAGGGTAAGAGGTGACTGGTCTCCCAGACACTCTCACCGTCCCTTCCGTCACATCCGCCGCTCCCTCTGCCGCCGTCTGCTGTCCATGGATGTGGGTTTAAGTTCAAAGACTCTGTGGTGCTGTTGAGAATCAAGTTATAGGTGTGAATAAAGCGTCTGAAGGTTCAGTGTGTCGGGGCCCAGTGGACCTGGGACCTCCACTGTTTCAGAGGAAGCTTCCTCTCCTTTGCTACAATCGATGACAGTTGTCTGGCTCTAGCACATTTGTCTCTAGACTGATTTCTAATTGTTCTATAAACACATGAACTAATTCTAAAGACTGAGATACTTGGTAGCTTTAAAACTGTATATCAACTTAAGTGTCAATAAAAGGTAAATAGAGATACTTTCAAATAGATTAAACCCACACCTGAATTACATTTGAATTAAATCTATGCGGTTGAGAGGACGGGTATCGTGGGTGAAACAGCTATCTACCCCAGACTCGATGACACTTCTGGGCATTCCTTCGCCAGAAGGAAACCACCGAAGTGGTTTGTTTACGCCCTTGTGGCCACCTGCGTGGGCTTGAGCCAAACTGCAAGTCATTCTGACCGAGTGTTTTGCCCTTCAGAAATCAATATCCTCATACCCTGTTTACTGTATTCTGAGGCAGTCCAGTCAATTTACTCACTGGTTTTTTTTTTCTGTTTCCCCCCACTCTTCTAGACGTCATTTTCCCACTTTCAAACACTGTGTTTTGTTTGTTTGTTATTTGCAGACTGCTGCCAAGCTAAAGACCAGTACATCGAACAGTTCAAAGATACTCTGAACACTAGCGTGGCCAAATCAATTGCTGGGTTTTTTGCAGAACCAATTCAAGTGAGTATATTAGCCTGAGACATTAACTGAGTTTTAAGTTGCCAGAGGTTTAATTCACGCTTTCTAAAGAATTTTTAAATTGTTTAACCATTGCTGTGTCCCTCTCCAAACCAAACTCATTCCCTTGGTCCCCTTGGAAAAAAAATCAGAAATCAGAAAATCAGAGCCCCTGATTTTCCAATTGACTTATAAAAATACCATCTTCTGAATTCCTGGACTGAACAGATAGATAGATGAAACTATTACATTCTTAATATTCTGAAGAAAAGGAAACCCCAGCAATTTTTAGTTACTTAATACCCACACCATCAAGGGTAGCCTTTCTACAGAGTGGAGCAAAAGTAGGTTTACAGTTGTTCTTATGAAAAATAATACAATAATTACTAAGTAATAATACAAGAATAAATACTGTGTTTTGTGTAGTCACAACTGTAACCTACTTTTGCCCCACCCTGTATAATCTTACAAAGTCCCCTTAATCTACTTTTATTCTAATCTCAGAAAAGCATACATTTGCATCCTCTTCTCAGAAAGCATGGCATAAGTGTAGTGGTCTCTCTTTTCACCCATAGTCAAACTAATTCTAGAGACTGTTTAAAAATTACTGGAATTGCAATTCCAGTCAAAACAACAGAGTAGGTACTCACTGAGCTCACCTCCTCCCATGACCATGTGAGAATTACACTAAATTATAGAACAATTAACCTGGAGAACCAGCTGGAGCCTAGCTGAACAGATGTTGCTATAACTAAGGGTATAAAAGACAATACAGTGAAACTGAAAAAAAATTATTTTGAGTATAAAAAAATTGCTAGTATTTCTAATGACCATAACGTTATCTTCTTTTTTAAATATATTTCCACAGGGCTATGCTATTATGATAGGTCCTCTCGGTTTGGTCTCTTGCAGGGGGTGAACGGGGTCGTTCAGTACCCGAAGGGGTTTCTGAAGGAAGCCTTTGAGCTGGTGCGAGAGCAGGGAGGCCTGTGCATCGCGGACGAAGTGAGTGGCCGTGGATTAGGGCGAACCAGGGCAGCTGGGACAGCAAAGGCACAGCGGGACCTCTCTAAACACCCCTCTGCATTCCAGGCAGAAAGCACCTAGTGTGGAAATTCCAAGATGTGGGCATAAGTTAATGAAGCTTTTAGTAGTTGGCTGGGTTGGTTTATTAGTGGACCAGTTGGTCTGTTGACTTCAACATGCAAACTGAAGTCCGTCACATAAGTTGCTAACAGGCACAGGTAAAACTGGCATCACTCCAAATATTTTTAAGTTCCTATTTAGGGATACATCATGGGCCACTTGAAAGCCACATTAAAAATTTAATTCATAAGCAAGTCTGCATCAAGCAATTTTTGCCAAAATAATGTTAACCAGGTTGACAGCACTAGCCTTACCTTAATAACAAAACTTGTTTGGAAATGATATTTAAGAAAGAAAAAAATCAGACTCTAAGTTAGAAAAGGGCCATCACTGCCCTGGCAACTGTGGCTCAGTTGGTTGGACTGTCCTCCCAAACCAAAAGGCTGTGGGTTCAATCCCCGGTCAGGGCACATCCCTAGGTGGCAGGCTTGAGCCCCAGCCTCTGGGCAGTATAAGAGACAACCAAATGATACTTCTCTCTGGCATTAATGTTTCTCCCTCTCCCTTCCTTTCTCTCTACAAAAGCAATTTAAAAAAATTTCCTCAGTGAGGATTTAAAAAGAAAAGAAGAAGAGGGCCACCATTGCAGATATTCAAAAACTAGTTTCAAAAGAATTACAAAATAGCTTAAGCATGGTTGGAATAGCATACAGTCCTTCCAAGGAAATGACTTTAAAAGGAATAAAATTCCCTGGCTCAGTGAACACTAGCCTGTGTGTTTTTAAAAGTGATCAATGTACTTATAGTCATACCTCACGTTAGAGTGTATGAAAGAAAGCAATCCTTTGCCTACCGAGGCCAGCAGTGGGGATCGATGGCCAGGGGGAGGTGGCCCAGCCCCGAGACGTGATCCTGGCCCATTTGTCACAGTTCGACTAGCAATGGTTAGTCCCACCAAGAACAGGTGGCAGGTTTGATGTTTCACACCGGTTTCATCCCTGCCATCTTTGCCTGAACAATTACCGTCAACTAGACAACCCATAGGAGACACTGGGCTCCCTCTTGAAAAAATTTTTTTGCAGTTTCTACCTGTCCAGCCCAGTCTCTGTTATCTCCAGGGGGCCTGGATGACTAACCCCGCTTCCTCGCCCCCTCCACCCCTCCGCCACAATGTGCTGCACAATCAAGGAAGCATGGACCAGCTTCTCCCCCACACCTATCCCCCATTCCTCAACCTGCTCATGTAAGTTTAGAGAACATCAACAAATCAAAGTCCTCGCTGAAGAAAGTTAATCTGTTATTAAAAGGAAGAAGAAAACTACACTCAGCAGGTTTGCAGCTAGCTACGCCAGTGAAAAGAATAAGATTTCACCTTTGGAATCAGCACAAATTGAAGCTGCCATAGTTGAACCAATTAGAGGGAAGGTAGACTGAATTCAAACAAAATATGAATTTCAGAATTTTCTAAGATATGTGGTTTTGGCACTCTCAATAACATAGTTGGAAACTGTCTAACACAAGGTGACCGTAAGAAGGACAGTCTTAAATAACTAGGTAAAGCTAAGAATAGCTGGAACTTTCTGAGCACTTACTGTGTGCCAGGCACTGTTTGTGATGCTGTGCGTGCTGATGCTCATAACAATTCCATAAGGGATAGCCCATCACTAGCATTCCCAGTGTACGGATAACTGAATTGAAGTCCAGTGCGGTTAAATCACCTGACAAGGTCATGAAGTTAGTAGGGGCAGCACCGGACTCAAACCCGGGCTTCCCAACCGCACTAACCACTGGACGAAGCTGCCTCTTGATGACAGAACAGTGGTGTGGAAGGCAAAGGATGGCAGAAAAAGAGGGAGCAGAGGGTGGGAAGCCTAGTGCGAGGCCAGCGCTGCTACTGAGGGATCTCGCGCAAGTCATCTTAAGTAGCTAGCCTTGGTCTTCTCCTCTTTAAACTAGAAACCTGGAAGCAAAGATAGCCGGCCACCCTCTGGGACCAATTGGGTGGCCAGTCTTTGCTGGTCTGGCACGTTCTAAGTTAATGAAACTTAGAATGAGTCATCTCTGTTCTACCAAAAGATTCTGTGAAACTGATACTTTCTAGGTGACTAAACGTGATTCGTTGTCCTACACAATTTCATGCATTATCCAAGCAATCTGATTTTTTCACCCTCTGCTTATCATACTTAGACAGAAAAAAAGCTGAGAAATTAGTGAGATGAAGAAGCAGGGAGAGGGGTTCGAGAAAGAGACCAACATGAACAAAACAGCTAAGGTCAACTTTCAACCCTGAGTGAAATGGCTCAGGTGGGTCCTCCTCGTGATGTGAAGAAAAGGGAGTCACAGGGAAGAGGGTGACCATCCAATGTGGGCCAGGCAGCAGGTGGCCCAGCCCCTTCCGCTGACTGCAGTCTCCTCCTTCTGCCTGGGGCAGGCGCACTCCCCCGCTCTCCCCCTCCCACCCCCGCCCTTGCTCTCAGGAGAGCCTCGTCAGGGATTGCTACACTGTAATGATCTTGTCCCCATGTGTCCTTCACAGGACCCTTACTGCTGCCCCTGGAGGCTTTGCTCTCTATTAGCACTTCTACTGTGAGCACAGGTACAGAGTGACTTAAGAAACAAATCCAGAGTCATTCAAAGCTAGTAAATGGTTTTCGGGGCCTAAAAGCTAGGCCACAGGTTAAGTGTCTTGTCAATATTAGTACAAAGATGGTGATGACAATGGCTGGCAATGATGATACTGAGGAGGAGGAGGAGGGCGAAGGAAGAAAGGAGATGGGAAGTGGGGAGGGAGAAGGGGGGAGAGGGAGGATGAGGAGGCAAGTGAAGAGATCAGAGTCAGGAGAACCAGCATTTCTTGAAAGGTGTCCAGTGAATTTGGATTTGCTCCCATCAGGTGCAGACAGGATTTGGGAGACTGGGCTCTCACTTCTGGGGCTTCCAAACCCACGGTGTCCTGCCAGACATCGTCACCATGGCTAAAGGGATTGGGAACGGCTTTCCCATGGCAGCAGTTGTGACAACTCCAGGTAGGATCCACGGGCAGTTTGTGTTTGCTCCCAAGCCTCCTGCACCAGCGACAGAGAGAACACACATATTGCAATTTGTGTGGATTAGAGACAGTGATGGGAACTACACGTGTGTGTCCCAAGCAATTAAAAAAAAAAAACCCAGAAAACCAGAAACAGTCCATCTGCCAGATGGTGGCACAGATAAAAGAAAGCCAGCCCTTTTATGCCTTTACTGTAGGGAGGACTAATTCTCCTGCCTCCACAAAGACATGTAGAGTTCAGCCACACTGACAAGCCATAGAAAAATGTGCCACAAAAACAAAACCAACACAAGAGATTCCAGTTAACCAACCTGACACCAATGCTGAAATTTCCAAGGATTCATATTCTGGAAGGAAACTCTCACTTGGTCTTGCCACACTAAGAAGCTCTAGATTCAAGGTCCAGGTGATAGATCTGTCTGTTCATGTCTCATCCATAAAACAGCCAAATATAGTACAATCTTACTTAGCCAAAACATTAAAATTTACTGAATTTTTCATTTCAGTGAGGTTTTACAGAAAATAATTTTTATGAAATTCCTAAAATTTGTCTTTGCCATACTTATGAGGCACGAAAGACCAATTCAATGCCTTGTGATAGCTCAGTGTTTTTATTAAATGACTTAAGGTGCAAAAATATGGATGTAGGAGGTCAAGTATAATGAACTGAATATACACTCACCCTGAAACAATCCAAAAATGATGTTATTAAATCCTTGATATGAAGGATTTTTTTTTCTTGGTCCCAAAAATGAAAGACAGAAAAAAGGTTTTAAGTTTATAACAGTTCCATGTAAATTCCATAAATCTAGCTTTAAGATACTTTTCAGTTCATACGGCACGTTCAAGATTTTGTTACCCAGCTTTTCATTGAGTCTGTTTTTCCTTGTCCACCGTATTAGTCAGCTAGGAATACCATACCAAGATGCTGCAGGCAGGGTCACTTAAACAACAGGCATTTAGCTTCTCGCATATCTAAGGACTGGTGATCCAAACCAAAGCACCAGCAGAATGAGGTCTGGGTGCAGTCCCTCTTGTAGAAGGCTGCCCTCTTGCTCTGTCCCCATGTATCTTTTTCGATCAAGAGCAAAAGAGCTCTGTTGTCTCTTCCTTTGAGGGATGCCAATCCTGTTGGATTAGGACCTACTCTTATGACCTCATTCAACCTTAATGATGTCCCTAAAAGGCCCTACCTACAATTGCAGCCACATCATGGGTTAGGGCTTCAACATATGGAATTGGGTAGGGGACACAACTCCATCTATAACATCCACCCTCTGGTGAGAGGAGAATGAATTGGATATGATGTGTCACTTACAAATAATCCAAATGCTGTGATAGGAGATTATAGACAGGAATATGTCCCCTTTATTCATCTCTACTTCCTCCCCTAGAGATTGCCACGTCGTTGGCTAAATGCGTTTTGCACTTCAACACCTTTGGAGGGAGCCCCATGGCCTGTGCCATTGGATCAGCTGTGCTCCAGGTACGTTCAGCAGCCACATGAACATCACTCATTTCACAGCGTGACTACTTCAAGGCCAGACACACATTCTCACGACTCTATCGCATTACATTATTGAAGAATTATTATTGAATTAAAGTTAGATTTCCAGTTATTATTCTGACACCTGCTCCCCGTTCATTAATGACCTCATTTGGGTCCTCAAAGTCTTGAATAAGAAATATATAACAAACTTCATAGGTGCAAAAAATGTAAGCATTCTCCTAGCTAGCTGGTAGCATGGAAATTTCTTCATTATTTGAGTGTTATTTTATTGATAGTTACAGACTGCTATCGTTGATTTTAAGTTTAATTTTGTCTCTTTCTTATGTGTTCTTTCTTACTTTTTTTTGTACTGTCATAAATTAAAAGACTAAAAGGAAACTTTACAAATAGGTAATTCAGCCATTGTTTGGCCCAACTCCATTGATTTTGCCTGGGGTCACATATGTAGAGAAAGGTTTTTTAAATACCCTTGCTAACATGCATAAGAGCATTTGCTTAAATAAGTTTAATGCACTTCTGAAAGAATGTTCAAAAAATTAATCACAGCAGTTGTTTGTGGGGAGGTAGGCTGTCTGATTTTTCAATGAGGCACATTGTTCCCTTATTCAAAAACTTAAATCTGAAAGTATTTTTAAGTAAAAAAACAAGTAAAAGCTGTCCTTGTTAATTAAAAAGTATCTTCATATATGATTGAGTCATGAAAGTGTGGGTAGGATGTGTCATTTGTTTCATTTGTAGACATTGCCAACTTCTATTGAGAGTGCTGTGTCACCTCAAACTATTTAGAAAGTAGAGAGGACTTAGGTGAGCAGATTGGTCTTAAAAACTTCGAGGCTTGCCTGAAGTCATGCCATGATTATCAGCTAAGCATAAATGCAGTGTATTGCATGCATCTAGTCAAGAGGCCAGGGCCCTGCAGGGAGGTCCCCAGGCAAGGACAGCCTGCCTGGCTGGGAGCAGTGGACAAAGGCCAACAACCCCCTAGTAGGGCAAGCATCTGTGACGTATCTTTCCTCAGAGCATTAGTTTCCTTCACCACCATATCGCAGGTTTAGCAAAGCCCAGCAACAAATACTAAACCTCAGGATTACGGAATCTGCATTACAGACTGCATGGAAACACGTCTCCTCCTCTTTCCTAAGTTCCTACCCACCCCTGAAGATGAGGAAGGATGGAGGAAGTATCCCGTCTACCAAAACGTTTTTTCTCCTTGTAGGAAATCTTTCTGTAGTAATGGTATGGCCACGAGAGACTTTGGGTTCCATTTGGTCAAGTTTCTGTAAAGACGGTCATATATATTTCCCTCTCCATGTTCCTCAGTCAACTTTAGAACTTTTTTTTTTAATGCAAGAGCATTTGGAGCTTTCTCCCAATAGGTGATTAAAGAAGAAAATCTACAGGAAAACAGCCAAGAAGTTGGCACTTACATGTTACTGAAGTTTGCTAAGCTGCGGGATGAATTTGAAATTATTGGAGACGTCCGCGGCAAAGGCCTCATGATAGGAATAGAAATGGTGAAGGATAAGGTAAGTTCTGATCTGCTGCTCTCTCTGTGGCTTTCTGGGGCAGCAAGAGTCAAAGCAGCAGCAGCAGGAGCGGTCAAAATCTGGCTTCATTCATTCTTAGGGTGGGACCCCCCCGAGGGACATTGTTGAGCATGAACCAAATGCTGGCAGGTCCTGAAGAGTTCTCGAGGGTGAGGGTGGGGATTTGGAACAGGGAGCTGGTATTATTCTTGCCAGACTAGGCAAAGAGCATCAGTGATAACCAAATAGTTAGAATTACAGGTATGAAGAAGGGAGGAAATTATTTGGGGAGGGGCAGGTGATCCAGAGAACTAGCAGAAGTAGGGGAGAAGGCTGGGAGAAGGGTGTGGTGATGTTTGGCATAAGGATGTTAAAGATATATAGGGTTGCGTGTGTGTTTGTGTGTGTATTTCAATCTGCCAAGTATCCCGAGAGGAATGTGACTTTTCAATGATGCGCCTCACTGTGACAAACTCAACGTGACAACAATTGAAGTTAGCATTTTCCCAAAACAGTTATTCCTCCCAAGTTCACTGTTTCTCACCCTTTAGTCTTCTCCCAATTACCCAGCCTCAATACCACAAAATAACACGCGACTCCTCCTCTCCCCTTATTTCTAACATCAAGTCCTGTAGACCGTTTGTTTGCCATGCCTCTCAAAGCCTTCCCTTTGTTTCTGCTGCTGGCCCTACATTCCACGTGAGTAGGAAATTGTCCCCCCACCCCTCAATAAAAGCAAAGCCCAGATCCTCTGGGGAGAGCAATAGCAGAAGAACCTTGGCCCAGGGAGGAATATTCAGACTGACCCCTCTACCTAACTCTCGTCCGTGGAGATTCACTTTTCCCTTAAGTGGCTTCTTGCTATTTGATCTAGTTTAGGAGAGCTGATGCTCAATTCTTTTCATCTTTAGACTACACTATGGATGTAAGACTCTTTCATTAAAACCATACGCCAGAACTGATTTTAACAAGATTTTAAAGCTTAGGGAAGACAATAGAAAAATAAGAGAAATATGAGAGTAGGCCACAAGCCATACATAGTCAAGGGAAGTTTGAAGGCTCAGAAAAGTCCATCCCAGTCCCAGCCCAGGGGCTCCCTCAAAGACCGTCCACGCCACGCAGCAGACTCCGCGGAGGACAGCCCAAGGAGCGAAGGGCCTTTGCTCCCCTCCCCCATTCCACACCCAACTTCTGCGTGCTCCAGGTCAGAGGTGGGCCAATAAAGATGTTCGTCAGGACTTGATTTGTCTTGGTAAAACATGGGAATCTTCCCCAACGGTGCATGGTGACATTTTAGGGTCACTGAGGAGATCCTAGTCTTCCCCCCGCCCCAGGCCCTCCATTATCTAGTACCCTGAAAGTATGAGTAATATTTTCTTCATCTTAAAGCTTTAAGACAGACAAAATGGGACCTATCTCGGGAGGCCCGGTCTTGTTCCTCACCAGGCCTGGAAGGCTTGAAGAAAGAGTTAGATCAGGAGTTGGGGGCGGGGGCGGGAGGGGGGCTGTGAAGACTAAAGCCTGGAGGGAGGGTGGGTAGGAAGCCCTGAGGAGAAGAATGAGCGGGGAGCTCTCCTGTATCTCACAGGGATGGAAGGGGCTGGCCCACACGCCAGGAGCGTGTCCAGCGCGTCTGGAACCAGTGCTGATGTGCACGTGGCGCTCGGCGCTCGGCACTCAATGTCGTCTGTGTTCTTTTTATTCTATCTAACTATATATAAACTGGCTGTCATCTCCTCTTCCCTTCTCACTAAATAAAATAATTCTTTAGTTTGCCTATTAAAAAAAAAAAGATAGGAGGATCACAGCCATAGTTCCCTTCTCCTTCCAGCCCTCTCACCTGAGGGTCACTTTACAAATATAGCTGCCCACGCCCTGCCACAAAGGACCTAATCCAATAGGTCCCATGTGGGGGCCAGACATCTGGAGTTTTAAAAGGCTTCCAGGTCATGCAGACCCACAGTCAGACTTGAAACGACTAAGGAGGGGGTGCTTATACTCACAGGCTCCAAAGACAGAGGACGCTCAGAAAGGGGACAAGCCCCGCCCCGCCAACGGTTTCACCACAGGTAGGGACTTACTTCAGATGCCTCGGGACCTGAGACAGCCTCTCGGTCGTAAAAGCGCTTACCTTTCCTAGCCCTGGAGGACTAAGTCTTGAGGGGAAAGAGCAGACTTCACATGCAGGGAAGGTGGGGACACGCAGGCGCACCCCAGCAGCCCAGGCGGCGCTGCGGCCCAGGGGAAGCTTTGCTGTGCGTGTGCTTGCGCACATTTTGAGCCATTTCCTGGACTTTGAAATGAGCTTTCTACAGGGCGAAACAGAGTGAAGAGGGGAGGAGAATTTCCTCAAAAGTAAAACAGACCCCAAATTCAGAGGGTAAAGAACCCAGTTCACGGGGGAACCTTAGCAAAGCCAAGTTCACTGGCCATCTGCCTTCACCTCCACTTTGTCCTTAGGAATTTGGAAGTAAATTGGGATAAAAACAAATATTATTAATAGTAAATATTATTAATGTTTAATATCCCCCCAAAATTTCAGTCCAGCAATTAAAAGCTTTATTCAATTAAGGGAGAGAAAGATTAAGAGGGAACAAAGGACATTGACTGCTTGGGTTGCTTTCTCTTTTCTCTTGGAAATAGTGTCTTTAACCATTCAAACACCAAATAGAAAATATTTTTTAAATGTATTTACAGATGAGCCTCCAGCCTCTTCCCCGTGAAGAAGTCAGCCAGATCCATGAGGACTGCAAACGCATGGGACTTATCATTGGCAGAGGTGGCATTTTTTCTCAGGTGAGAGAAAGGCTGGTGTTTACCTGTCACCTTAGGCAGGCATCTCCCTGGTGTCCCAATGCTGGTCACTTGTCTAAAGGGGTATGTGAGGGGACCCAGCTCCACTTCCCATAGGCGCAGGGCTCAGATATTGTCAAAAGGAAGCGGCAGTGAAGTCTTAGGACCACTAGGGGGCGCTCTGTTCAAATGGTTTTGTTAACAGAGTTCTGTGCCGCTTAGATACAGAGGGCATCCTAACAAGGCATAAACCACAAATGCAGACAAACCAGAAGACTTGCAGGGGTGTCCAACCTGCGGGCTACAGGCCACATGCAGCCCAGGATGTCTAGGAATGCAGCCCAACACAAAATTGTAAATTTACTTGAAACATTATGAGGTTTTTTTTTGCGTGATTATGTGTTGCAATGTATTTAACATGTGGCCCAAGATAACTCTTCTTCCAGTGGGGCCCAGAGATGCCAAAAGGCTGGACACCCCGTTACAGTATAGGGCAAAACAGTCGTGTAATAAACATTTTGCTCATGGATTCGTTCCCTGTAACCCCCTCTAAGAGCCACCCTGATTGTTCTTAACTGGGCTTGGGCTGTGACTTCGTGAATCTTGAACTTGCTAAGACGTAGCGGCCTGGCCCCTGGGGCCAGGAGCAACCTAAGAGCACGGCTGGCCCAGGAGACCCTGTAGGAGAGGTGGGGGACGGCCCAGGCCAGGTCCCTAGTGCAGAACTCCTAATCAGCCACGCCCGGGGCCCTCCACCCTCAGGCCGGAGGTGCAGGCACGCAGCGCCTCCTGCTGGCTCCCTGGCTGGGAAAGCCGAGTGTGTCCCTGCAGTCAGGACCCGTGTGGCCCTGCCCCGCGGACATGAGCAGTGTCATCAGTAAAGCAGTCTGCCCTGGACCCCTCACACCGCGGACATGAGCAGTGCCATCAGTAAAGCAGTCTGCCCCGGACCCCTCACACCGCGGACATGGGCTGTGCCATCAGTAAAGCAGTCTGCCCCGGACCCCTCACACCGCGGACATGGGCTGTGCCATCAGTAAAGCAGTCTGCCCCGGACCCCTCACACCGCGGACATGAGCAGTGCCATCAGTAAAGCAGTCTGCCCCGGACCCCTCACACCGCGGACATGGGCTGTGCCATCAGTAAAGCAGTCTGCCCCAGACCCCTCACACCGCAGGACCCTCACCAGGGACTGGCTCTGGGGCAGAGATTTAAAATTTAGGGTAACTTCTACGCCTCCCCTAAATTGTCCTTGTCCTTTGTAATCTTGCTTTCCCGTTTTAGATGTCAGCCATTCTTCCCAGGTTCCATGCTGCATTCCTGCCTCTCACTCTCAGTGAACACTCTTGCCGCCTGTACTTCTCAGAGGAGGTGGAAGCCATTAGGCAAGAGCTCTACATATACTCGTCTGTCCCCACATCCATTTCTTACATCCTTTCCTAAAGGTCTGAGAACGAGGTATCACTCCTGTTCCAATCCAGATCTGCCTCCCGTGCTCTTGTCCCTCTTGTATCTGCAACTTCTCCTTTTCCTCAACTCCCCCTTAGCCTGTCAACAAACAGCCTCAGAGCTCCCCCAGCCCAGGCTGAGCTGCACCACCCCAGACCAGAACGAGCGCTTCTGCTAGGACATGCTCGGTGACCTCTTCTGATCCTGCCCTCAAAGACGTTTCAGCACAAATCAAACAGAGCAATGAATAAAAATCCTCAGATGCACAGCTTACAAAGGCAGGAAAGAATTGATTGCTTACTTGCTCAGTTATCCCGTTGTTATCTGGCAAACACATGCAAAGCAGCAGTTGCTATGCTGGGTGCTAAAGCTGCAATGATAAATAAGATCTGGTCTCTCCCTTCACAGACCCCACAGGAGAGGACAATATATAAACAGAAAATTGCTATACAATATAGTAAGCTCATCAGTAGCTATAAAAATGAGTATAGCCCTAGTTGATGTGGCTGTTGATTGGAGTGTCATCCCATAAACCAAAAGATCAGAGGTTCAATTCCTGGTCTGGACACATGACTACATTTTGGGTTCAGTCCCAGGCTGTGAGTTCAATCCCCAGTCAGGGCACTCAGGGTACGTAGGAGAGGTGGCCAGTCTATGTTTCTCTTTCACGTCAATGTTTGCTTCCCTCTCCTTCTCTTCTCTTCTTTCTAAAAGTCAATAAGCATGTCCTCTGGTGAGGATGGGGGTGTGGGGCAGAAGGAGGAAAGAGCAGGGACTCCTGGGCCAGGCTTTGGCTAAGCCGAGTCTTACACGATGAGATATGCGCTCCAGGCGCGGGGGTCCATTCAGAGAGCACGTGCACACTAGGGTGGCGGCCGCGTGAGGCTGAGGCAGGGACTGGTGATGATAACAAGGCTGATCTGCATGTATGGACTCATTTCATGCTCTCAGCAAGCCTATGAGATAAGGACTATTGTTATCCATATTTTACAGATGAAGATCATGAGGCACAGAAAGGTTAAATAAACTGCCCAAATCACACAGCTAGTCAATGGCAGAACCAGGATCCAAATGCAGGCAGTCTGATTTCTGAATCTGTCCTCAGGAGTGCAGGGCTGAGGGGACAAGACTGGAGGCAGGGAGTCCAAGTGGGGGCTGCTGCTGCTGCTTGAACTTGAGCAGTAGCGATTGTGATAGGGGAGAATTCAGAGAACAATCCTGGAAGGGAAAGAGGATTGGATATGAAGGCCAAGGGAGAGTCAAGCGGGAATCCCTCCTGTCTAACTCGGTTCGGGCAGGACAGAGACGAGTTCAGCTTTGAACAGGTTCTCTTTGAGGAGTTTATGGACATCCATTTCTATAGACAATCTGCAGCTCAGGGGAAAGGATTATGGTAAATGTCACAGGAGCCACGAGCCCGTAAGGGGTGACACAAGGACATCTCCTGGGAAGTGTGTCTACATCAGAAATGTGGTGAGACGAGGCCAGACGCCTGTCCGCCCACCTGTAAAGGGCAGGTGCGGGAAAAGGTGCCTGAGTGGCGACAAAACAAAGGCGGGGCAAATGTGAGAAAAGCTAGGAGCGTGTGGAGTCATGGGAGCAGGAACGTGAGCAGGTTCAGGAAGAAGGAGGGACCAAAGGGTCGGCTGCAACAGAGATGGCCAGGAGGGCCAAGGGCAGAAACATGCTGTAGGATTGCGCATTTGGCAGGTCACTGGCGGCTTTAGCTTAAGTGGTGTTTGAGGGTTGGTAGGGGCAGAGACCTGACTGCAGTGGGCTGAGACGTGAACAGAGGGAAGGCAGCGTGGAAAATAATGACCCATAAGTATCAACCCGTCTTTTCAGCAAGTTTGCATGAAAGGACGGAAGAGCATTTGTATGGTAGATAGAAGGGACTAGGAGACCAACAGATTTTTATTTGGTGTGGTTTAGATTTGGGTTACAAGAGCTATAAGCCTGCTTGTTTGTAGGCTGAGGGGAAGTTGAAGAGAAGTTGAAGATGCAGGAGAACACAGGGATGTTTCCTGAAGGGACAGGGATGGGCCAGGGCACAGGTGGATGATTTGCCGTTGAACAGCAGACACACCTCGGTCTCTGAACCTTCAGGCCAAGATATAAGGATGTGGGAGCAAACAAGTTTATAGAAAGATCTTGCCTGACAGCTTCTGAGAAGCACGAGGCAAGACTGGCTATGAAATAGAACGAGAGGCGTAGGAGTTGAGTTAGGAAATTGAGAAGAGTAGAAAAGGTTTAGAATGAAAAAGGAAGCTGACAGAACAAGAAAACTTTAGGGGACCAGCAGAATTTGGAGACCCTGCCCATCTAGGGGCATCCATCTGCTCCGCGCCATGCTCTTCTTTAACACTTCTTGGCTACCTGTGTTGGTGCAAAGCAATTCAGTTATAGCTTTGATGAAGGCTGGGGCTCTGGGGCGTGGGTGCCGCAGGAGGGCGGGAGGAAATGCAAGCACACTGAGGGGGCAGGTGAGAGAGTACCTCAGACAGTCAACCACATGCGCCAGGCTGGGTAGGAAAAAAAAAAAAAGAGATCTGAGTGGGTCATAGGTCTGAAGACAACGGAAGGGATGGGGAGAGGGGTGTGGCAACCAAAAAACTGGGATGCTTATTTGTTGGGTTGTACACACAGGCTCTGAGGTCACCGTGGGTGGTGGCAGAAATGGGACGTAGACAGGCACCTATGATCTCGTGAAGGGGCTGCAAGGACCTGGGGGGGGGGGGGGTGAGCCACTGCAGAAAGGAAAAGGGACACAGCCAGATGGTGCCAGAATTTTTACGAGACTGGAGGATGAATGGCCTGGGATCGGCAGTGGAGAGAAAGGAGACCAACCCATGAGGGAAATGTAGAGATGCCATCACAACAGAACTTTAGATTCTTAGTGCAGTACCTTTGCTCAGACTCACATGTGAATCGATGACGATCACATCTCTCTTTCCTGTGTCTCCCCAGACGTTCCGCATTGCACCCCCAATGTGCGTCACTAAAGCAGAAGCTGATTTTGCAGTGGACGTATTTCGTTGTGCGGTAACCCAACACATGGAAAGAAGAGCCTTATAAAATTTAAAATATAAGAACCCACAAGCCTCAAGAACTTCCCACTTACATCCAAGAGCTAATGTGAGGAATCTCAGAACCCCCAGTATGAGTTGTGAAAGCTGACTGTCTGCCAGCCATGTTGGTTAATGAGGAGAGCCCCAGTGTTGCTGAGAAATCCTGCAGGGAAGGGTCTCTCTCCCTGGCTGCTCAGAGAATGAGTCCTAACTAGGCTAGGTCAGTTATGGTGATTTGGTTCCCCTTTGCGAGGACTGGTTTGTACATGATCCATGACACATTTTGGAACCATGAACCCTGAAGGAAAATGGTGGCGCAAGTGCCTTCAGGGATAGGTTTCTTCACCCTTCATTCTTCATCGCCAGAAGAGATGTGTTCTTGCACTGAAGCATCCCATGTCACGATGGGACTGATCACGCCACGTCAGCCACTTTGGGGCCACGAGACCAAAGCTCCTGCGCTGAGGTCAGAAGGCATTAGGAAGAGGAGTCCACAGGGAGGTCAGTGAGCCTCTGACGTAACCAACCTGGAGCAACCTGATGAGGGCAGCGGGGCGGGGGGCCTTCTTGTGATATGAGGTAATAAATTCATGGTATCGCACAGGCCTTTGTTATTTAATGTTTCTATTTTTGCAGCCATAAGCATCCTGAGAAATGAGGCGGAAAAATGCCCAAATTCCCTTACCACCCTTAACGTGTCTATCAGACTTCTCCATTTCCACCGCCGTCATTTGCCCTGGACCAAAGCCTCATCCCTCCTCTCACAAGAGCCTCCAACAGAAGAATTTCCCCAACTTTCGTCATTAGAATGCACATTCTTTGTGTTTTCTCCCTTGTGTGTTTACCACCTGGCTTAGAATGGACTTAATATTTTTCCTTAATTTGACTGTTTTCACTTAGGGGTATTGGAGAGTAACCTTTCTATTAATGACATTAAATGAGGAATCAGTACTACTTGTCATAACTGGAGAGTCATCCTAAAAGTAGAAGGAACACAAAGCAATGTAATTCAGTTCTGGCCGGAGCCAGTTAACTACAGCCGTTCTCAGCCTGAGGGTAGCTCTCTTTTTGTTCAGAACGGAAATTAGAGAGCATTTGAGGGGTGTTAAAAAAAATATTGGCCAAGTGCATCCTCTCCTTAACACAAACAGAAGAGAACCCACAGAACTGAAAGGGAAATAACTTTCTCAGCATGCAACACAGTGTGTTTAAGCTGGGCTCCCATCTGAAGCCGGGTCCTAATGGTCTACTCTTTGAGGAGCCTCTTTGTTCCACAAACACGCCCTACACGCGCTGCCAGATTTGTCTCCCTCAAGCACTGACTGAACTATGGTATCCTTTGCACAGAACCTTCCAGTTGTTCCCCATGGTCCCCTGGATAAAATCAAAATGCCTTTTAACAAGAACTCAGTGTCCTCCAGTATCCAATATTAAAACAGAGCAAGTTTCTTGGAAAGATCATTGAATTAAGAGCCAAATGACCTGAATTCTAAACTCAGTTCTTCCACTTTTTTGCTACAGATAACCTTGGGCGAGCCTTTACCCTCTTGTTAATCTCACTTTATCCCGGGGCACATAATGCTTGCCCTTCCTCCCTGCTGAGCTGCCTTGGGAATTGAGTGAGGTAATGGATGTCAGAGTGTTCTGCAAACTAATGAGCTACGCAAATGGAGAATTCTTCGCTTCAACCTACCTATCTCTTCCTTTCTTCACTACAAAAGCTCCCAAGAGCAGTTTTGGGGCTTCCTTGCCTCCTGTCCATGTCTCAGCCACTAGGACTCATTCCTGCCTCTTGTTCCTTGGAAACTGACTTCTCTGAAGGCCACCAGGGACTGCCTGATGGCCAAAACTTAGTGCTTCCATGCATGTTTTCCCTAAACCTCTGCTCCTTCTCGGATAAGACGCCTTGGCTTCTGCCATGCAGTCCTTCGATCTCAGATGGCTCTGCCTCAGTCTCTTTCCTGGCAACTCCCCCACCACAAGCCCGTGTCCTGGTCCTTTCTCCTTCCAGACTGCGTTCTCTCCCTGGCAGCAACCTCATCCACTTGGGAAACACTACCTGTCTTGCCTACCTGACTGACTTCCAGATACTCATCTTCAGTCTCAACCTGTTCTCTGAGCCCAACCCCAAACAAATCTCTTCTTGACTGATGGTACCCGTTTTGTCTCAGGCTCGCACTTTAGGTCATTATTTTTCTCCAAATGTGGGTGAAAAAGGGGCCACATGCTAACCCCACAAGCTCAGGAGAGGCCTGTGTGATAGCCTCACTAACTCAGAGATGAAAGTAACCACACAGGATGGTCTGAAATGAAAACTTATTAACTAAAGGCAGTTTATGGCGGGTAGTCATGTCCTAGGCTAGAATCTTCCCTGACAGAAGTCAATCTTTACCTTAATTAAGCCTGTCTATTGTCTTTTCACATCTACAATAGCATCCTTTTAGTATGTCAAAGTAATTTCCCTCCCCGCTCCCTCACCCCTCAAAGCACAGATAGGACACCAAAGCAGAGACTGCAAATCCCCTCCTTGTTATTATCATGGTAATTGTTGACTGTTAATTATCCTATACCCACCTATGTAAAAGAAGGATGTGTCTATCATTATAGTTTTTATCCAACCCCAAAGGCTTCCCTGCTTTGCTTTCTCCTGTCTCCCTAATCTATCTCCAATGGTCTCGTGAAGATAGTATTGTAAAGTATAAAGCAGGGTTCAGAACTGCCATTCTCTGGAGCATTTCCTCACTCCATGGGGTTTTTTCTTCATGACAATTGTCATCAGTTTGGCTCAAATAAACTCACAAAAATTCTCTACAGGTTTGAACATTTCTTACATTGACAAAGTTGTCTTTTGCCCTTTATATGACTAAGTCTCATGAATACTTTCTATAACATAACCTTTCCAATATGGCCCAATTATACCAAGGCTGCCTTAATTTAGACCATCACCATCTCTCCTTTTTTTTTTTTTTTTTTTGAAATAATAAACTGCCTCCTAACTGCTATCCTGGACTCCTTCCCAATCTGTCCTCTACACTGATACAAAAGTCACTTATTAAAAGGGTAAATGTGAGAACATCTCTTATCTCTCAGAGCCTTTGAGGGCTCCCTGTTGCCCATGGAATGAAGTCCAAACTCCAGCTATTATGGTGTCCAAAAGCCTTCACAGTTTGTCCCCAAACTGCCATTCCCAGCTTTACTCCCACCGTTCCTTCTGCATCGTGCAGGTGGTCCTTTGTTCCCATAGTTCACTCTACCTGGAGCATCTTCCCCTTTTTTTGTTAATAGAAATATGAGGTCAGGAAGATTGAACAAGAAAGCCAAACCTCACCTCTTACTTATTCTTCAAAGCCTTTCCACTTTCAATGTTCTTTTAAGAAAAAGGGAAGAACATTAAAAATACATTTATAATAACCATTTAGGAACTTAGTCAACTATGAAGAAGAAACAATGAAACACACATTTTTAATATACAGTCTTTATTATATGTTTCCATTACCATTTAGTCTCCTTATATCGCCCTCCCGCCCACCCCCCCCATCCTGGCAATCACCACCCTGTCGTCCATGTCCATGTTTTTCATTTTTGCTCCATCCCTCCACCCCCTAGCCGCCCCCCACTAGCTGTCATCTGTTTTCCATCTATGAGTCTGTTACTGTTTTGCTTGTCAGTTCAGTTTGTTCATTAGACTCCACATACAAGTGAAATCATATGGTATTTGCCTTTCTCTGGCTTATTTCACTTAATAAAACACAAGTTTAAAGCAAAACAAAAACAAAATAAGTTTTCATGCTGAGGCCAGGGTCCTCGCCACCGTCGGGACATCGTGCCCTGGAGAAAGGAGTCTGGAGAAGTTCACTAGTGCAACATATTCGTTCTGGCTCCCTGAGCCCTGCAGGACCGGTGTATACCTAACAGTGTACCTGCCCGTTCCTCCCCTCCGGGGGGCGCTGTGGAGCAGCACGCAGCAACGGAATGCCGGAAGGTAGCCAGGTCCTGTCTCCGTCCTTGGCCCTGAGGCTGCGAGCGCCTGCTGGGGACTTCAGATGCCTAAGCCATCAGGGGCACGGAGCGGGAAGGGCAAAGGGGTGGCCTCAGGGCCTGTGTTTATTTCCTTCACCAACTAGTTAATAAACACGATGGTTCCCGACTTCTTTCCATTTGGAACCGTGGGCAGGAGTTTCGCACGACTGTGTCCCCCCCTCCACTTTCCGCCCCCTCCCCGCCCCGCGGGAGGTGGGAGGAAAGGCAGCTTACATAAGGCAGGGAGCCCGCGTCCTTGCCAAACTCTCTTTTATTTCCCTTCGTGTTAAAACTGCCTGAAGAGAAGATAATGAACACTCAGCTCAAGGAAACTTTTTCCCACACAAGGAACCATACTGATGGTTAATCATGTGATTGGAATATAACATTAAAATATTGGCAATTGAAACCTTGGAATGTCCATCTGCTCAGGAGGGGATAATTTTTTTTTCAAATCACATCAACCTTTCATTATACCATTAACAATAATTATTATAAAGAGATGTAACATAACACTTGTAATTGGTAATACAATGATAAACTAATTTGTGTTGTAAAACTCCGCCTTTATAAAAATGGCATCGGTGCAGTTTCTAACTCTCCACTCACGCTAACCTCAGAAAGTGTGAGAGGGCTTAATTCTTCTTCCACCTGTAGGCCCCATGAAGCCTCACCTTTCCTGTAAAGGACAGTGAAAGGACACTGGAAACCATCACCACCTGTGCCGCCTCCCCCTCCCGCACCTCCCCCCCGCCGACCCCGCCCCGAAGATTCGCACCAGGGCGCTGTTTTCACAGCGCAGAAGGCAGCGCCCCATCAGCAGGCGGCTCAGGGCCTAACGACCGCTGAAGCCTCCCTTCCCGCGGAGCCAAGGCGCAGCTTCGCCCATTAAAAGCGGGAGGACTAGAACACCACACCACAAAGCGCCGCACAAAAATCAAAAGGCCCACCTAAGCACGGTAGGCGCGAAGCTGAGTTCTACCAGTCCCTCCAGGCTTAGCTAGTGTAAAGCAGGCCAGACTGGGTGTGAGGGTGGAGGCGTAGGGGGGCTTGGCAGGCGGAAGGTGGTCACCCAGGCTGGAGAACAGCCGCGGAGAGAGAGGGCAGGAGCAGGTTTAACCAAAAGCGGGCTGGGAGGTCGTTGCAGAGAGCAGCTAATGAAAACATGATGGGACATCATGTAATTAGACGGCGCAAGACGATGGGCTAGAGGGAATGCACAAGCTCTCCAGGTTATTTATTTTGTGCAAATAAACCTCTCTGAGCTGAAGCTTCCTGGGGTCCCAAATGAGGGTAGCATTGCTCCAGAGAACTCTTGTGAGGATTTAAGTAAGAAAATGCACAGGCAGCTGCTCAATTAATAGGCACTCTCTCTTTAGCGTCCCTTGCCTCTTGACACAGAACTTCCTTAAGTGGCAGCTGGGTCACCCCATCTTGGGATAGTGTTTATCCTTGTGCCTTCACCTCATCTCCCTCACCAGAGCCTGAACTACTGGTAGGGTGACTCCGTCCCCTGCATCCTCATATTCTCAGGGCCTGACACAGGGCTCCGTGCAGAGAGGCAAAAACTAACTCCCCACGGTGCTGTCTGCATCTTATCCGTAG